GGAATTGGAAATCCAGGACTTGGGAATCCGGAATTCAGCTCAAGAAATCCAAAATCCCGCTAACGATTAAAATGCGGAATTCAAGTTCCACTAACAAGGAATCCAAAATTTATCGTCTGGAATCCGGAATCCACATCGTGGAATCCAGAATCCAAGACTGTCTTGCATTTCCTCACATAATGTGACACACAAATCATAACAAACTTTACTGGCAGCAGCGAGCTAACAACAAAATAGATCATGGAAAATTCACGGTTCCCAATACTTGCACGAGAATTCTCCAAGTAAAGACAAGACATTTAAGGTACACGAATGAGCTGCTTTGCAGACAGCAGCGAACTGATAGCCTCTCTATGGGTATTTCCGACGAAATCGAAGTAGCGACGGTCGCTATATTGACGAAACGACGATCAAAGAGATTAAGGCGACGACCCTTTTGCCATTTCGATAACGTTTGATCTGACTACATGAGTCTTGCGATAGCGAAAAAGAAATCTACCAAACAGGGTGCTGCACCTTCAGAGTTTCGTTATTCATGTCCCAAAACAATGAAACGGCGACCATTGTGGTGTACCAAACAAATCCTGTGGGAGTTGAACCTTTTTCTTATGAAAAAAACTTTCTTTCGTTCAAATAAAATTGTGTGAAAAAAAAACTCTCTCTATTTAGACTAAATGGTTAGGACGCATGACGGATGGCAAGAGGGCAGGGAGAGGTGGTGATATTACCCTGGCCCGGATAGGAGTCAACCTCGTTCCCAGGGTTCTTTCCTACAAGCAGAGAGAACCTGGGAACGAAGTTGGGTAGGAGTTTCGGCTGCTTCGTTCTAAGTGCATCCTCGGAGACCCAGGGGCAGCTACAATCCTCGTCAAAAATCTTGAAACACTTCCCCAATGTTGATTTGGGATTACAGTGCTCTCAGTGCTTCAAAATACGCGTGGCTCAACATTGGGGAGAGAGAGGGCACATTACAGTGAGAACAAAAGTGTGAGGAGTAAAAATCTCAAGAATTTTCCAGAAATTTCAAGAGAACGGTGTCTGTTTCAACGATTTGTGACGAGTAGCTGCCCCTGGGTCTCTGAGGATGTTCTAATCATTATGAACTTATCCCAACAACACTTGTGATTTGTGTTAACCCTTTTAGCCACAAGAGTGACCAATATCAATTTTCTCCTAACAATTTCAACATATTTTTAAGAGAAAAGGTTCAGAGAATTTATAAATTGATCAGGAAAAAGGAAATGCTTTTATCCTTGTCTCCAAACGGGAGTCTAAAGAATGATATGGCGACTATTATTGTTGTTGTTTTCCCACTTTGGCCAATTTTTTGTGGCGTTATCATTTCTAAATCTACCTATTATTATTATTATTTCATTATTAACCCAACTGCTTGTAAAACGTGCTTAGCAGATATAAAAGAATGGGCGCCATGAACTTTTGAATGAGGTGGAAGAAACTGCGAGCGTGGTTTACAAGGCCATTCTAGACTGGATTCAACAAAAAGCTGCCTTGAACTGTTTTAGGCCACCTGCGCATGAATCCAGACTAATTTTTGAAACTGCATAACTTTTTACCCCGATTCGTGTAAACTGAGGCCTTAAATTACTCCGGAGAGCGGTTACAAAAAGATATTAGGCTGATTTAGTAATAGAACGGGAACGTCAGTTGACGACTACGCGCGCAAATCAAACAACTGGCTTGACCAATGACAGAGCAGCAAATTAAGCACCGGAAGTCGCGTTCAATCCTTTCCACGTGCCTTTCCGTCTTTAACTGACCTTCACGTTCTGTTGCTAAATCAGCCTAATGTTTCGGTGAGAGGATTCACTGGTTTCGCGCGTGGACGGAATACCAGACGGAAGGCCGATTCATGTGAAAAGTGTATGTAAATGCGGTTTCAAAAATATCCGGATTTGTGTGGACGGGGCTTTTCACGATAGTGTCAATTTACAAATATGACCAGACTCATTTCATTTTTTCAGTTCTTTCATATTTAATTCGGTAAATTCAGAAGCCTTAATTTGCATAAGAAAGCCAAATTCTGAAGGATTCTAAAAAGAGCCGTTTGCACGATGGCGTCATTTTACTATACCAGATTCCTTCATGGTTTTGCTTTCTTATGCAAGTTAGGGCTTTTGTCATTTAAACCTCAGTGCATGGGATTACCAAATTTAAATATGAAAGAAAAAATGAAATGAATTTCTTTAGTAGCAAAAACAAGTCATCGCGTAAATAGCCAATTAGGCCCCGTGGCCCCAGTCTATTCTGAACTGCTTCATTATTCGGGCTGGGAGGGTAACCCTTATAGGGCGTATTAAATCTCGAGCAACTGACGTTCAGTCAGGGTCAATCTCTGTATTTTAACGCCAGGTTTGATTTACAGTTTGATGTTCTTAGATAATAATAGCCTGCGATCATGTTCTCCCTAAAAAACGCCTGTTTTAAAAAAAGACGATGAAACATGAGAAACTATAGTTTTACACTATTTACTTATTTCTGTTTTCGTCTTTTGTGGCTATGGTTTGTATTTTTAAATTCTGTTTCAGTTTTGCGGTTTAATTTTGTATTTTTTTGAGTGTGTTTCCTGTTGGGGATGCTTATTTCCGTTTTGGGATTTGTGTTTCTGTTTTCCGGTAGTGTTTTTCTGTTTTGGGTTTCCGTTTTGTCTTATGTGTTTCTGTTTTGGGTTTGTTCTTTTCTATTTTTGTTGTTGTTGTTGTCTTGTGGTTTTTTTGTTTCTATCGGCCACCCTATATATTTGATAGTCCTCTGCATGTAAATCCAACCACTGGAGAACACTTCAAAACTCCGTTGAAAATTTCTTCACAGAGATCAAACCGTCCAGGTAAGAAATAATCTCCTTTAACTTGGAATTTGTCCAATCAGATATTTCTGCAAGGTTTATTTTGATTTCCTGCTGTAGCCTTTTTTCCCTCTCTTTTTTACTTAGAAATAATTAATGATAAGTTTAGACCGGTTTGCGACCGCGAAGCAAAGTATGTTTGTTCGATGTTAAGCAAAACGTCCGACTAGAATATTGTTTTGACCGATTTGTGTTTCTCTCCCTTCGTTGTCTCCCTTTTCCGCTACTCTCTTCCACTTCCTTTTCACCCCTCCCCCGCCTCCAAATCCACAACCCCTAGGCCTTCAATCAAAACCAAGAAAATCCCTACCCCTCCTTACACAAGCAACGCCAGATATTCAGGATAATTTGTGTTAAATGTGGATCTCTCATGTTGGGGAAGTTACAGATTTATAATAATTTTCATTTTTATTACAATAGCTAACGAATAAAGACCTGCTTTGTGCATAAATTTGTGAAACTAAGTCTTGCATCGATTAAGAAGAAATTGAGGTCACGAATTTATTTAGTCAAGACATCTTTCCTTAAGCAGCTGCCTTTTAAATTTTTCAATGTGCATTGGAACTGTAAATTGTATTGTCAGAAAGGTTTTCAGAAAAAATCACGGTTTATGAATTAAATCGCTTTTATTTCTGGTCTATGTAAGGCAAACAATTTCAAATTTGTTGTGGTTTTCTAGTTTGTGGTCTCTCTGAATTTCGCACGTTCGTTATTGTCGCCGGGCAGCAGACTCATTTTTGAGGATTAGACAAAGCCCCATTCCTCTGGACTTAACCTGTGTACAGCCGCCCCCTTCCGTCAGAAAAAAACATTATTTTTTAGTAACGGAAGGGCGCGTATACACAGGCTATTTGGACTGAAACATTTCATGTAAACTAGATGGGGAGAGTGTTGTCGCTAACAATAATAGAATCATCAAAGCACGGCTGCACAGTGAGAAAGCAGTGTAGCCTTAGTAATTTCCTCTTGGTGTTTACTCTCTACTCATGTAAGAATTTTATAAAGAAGTGGAATCCGAAGATAAATGGACTTACTTCGGGCTTTTAGCGGTTTCTTTTGACATCCTTGCACGAGCATGAAACTAAGCAATAAGGTCACAAACGATAGAAATATTTCTTTTTATTATATAAACACCAATGAAATACAAGGTGAACTTTCACGCGAAAACATGATCTTCACATGGGAAAATAACATGTTATCTTCACATGTGAAAAGATCACCGTTGCTATGGCTACGTGATAAATCGCGCCTTTCGCAGGAAAAAAAATGTCTAACTGAAATGGTTTTGTATTTCATTGGTGTTTATATAATAAATAGAACATTACATAGCCGCTTGGAGATACGAAATTTCTCTCCTCGTGTTGAAGATATTTCACTCGTTCGCTGTGCTCACTCGTGAAATATTTTTCAACACTCGAAGAGAAATTTCGTATCTCCGCACGGCAATGTAATATCCTCTATGTGCTACATATTCTGCCATAAAAACCTTAGGGATAGAAATGTTCCGATCCATACATTAAAGGTGAATTATTCAAAACCCTCAAAATTGACCTAAAAATCGACCTCAGAAAACCCGGCCCAAAAAGGCTGATCTATACCTCACACTAAAACAGGGACGATCGAGCCAAAACATTGGCATAATGTATAAGTCTCCATGATAGTAACTAAGTGTACCAAATTTGAAAAAAATCGACCGACACCTATTTCCAATCCCCCCTCAGGCAGAAGCTCTCAACTATATTTTCATTTGGTATCACAGGAGTTTCAAATATCATGTTTAGTTTTTGCACTTAATGAAACCTTTCTTGTTTTCTGAATATTTAAGTAGGAAACAAAGGAGATTTTTTACTTTCAACTAAGTTTATAGAAAGAAGTTTAAAAGGAATCTGCTTGAAATATTGTGTTATAACATCAATATTCAGAAATTGACAAAAAAATTCAGAAGATTTGTCAGTTAGAGTAAATCTAGGGTGGAAGGAGTGGAAAGTTCTAGCTACCTTATCAGTCTAATGGGAACATGTTCTAAGACTTCAAATGTATTAATGAGAATTATTTTCGTTTTTTCCCTACCTCCACGCTCCTTTAAAGAAGCATTACGCCCAAGAAACAGTTCCACTTTGAACACTAAAACTTCGAAATGGCAGAAAGAATACTACAAGATATAGCTGAACAAAAAAAGCGTCTGGCAATAGCGCAAATCAATAAAAACACGGCAGAGAAAGCAGTTGCCTACTACAATCTAGGCAAAGCTTATGACTCCCTCGGTGACTTCCATCAAGCAATAGAGTACCTAAAGCTATACTTGAGCATTGCTAAGGAAGTCGGTGACAGAGCAGGATCAGTAGGATGTGTCTGTGGCACACTCGGCGGTGCTTACCAATCCCTCGGTGACTACCAAAGAGCAATAGAGTACCACAATCAACACCTCAGGATTGCCAAGGAAGTTGGTAACAGGGCATGTCAAGGCAAAGCCTATTACAATCTCGGCCTTGCTTATTACAGCCTTAAAGAATTCCAAAGAGCAATATTGTACTACAATCAAGGCCTCAGAATTGCCAAGGAAGTTGATGACAGGGAAATTGAAGGAAGTGCCTATAACAATCTCGGCGCTACTTATAGAAGCCTTAATGAATTCCAAAGAGCAATAGAGTACTACAATGAATTCCTCATCATTGCCAAGAAAGTTGGTGACAGGGCAGGGCAAGGTAAAGCCTATGCCAATCTCGGTGTTGCTTATCGTCGCCTTAATGAATTCCAAAGAGCAATAGAGTACACCAATAAACAACTCATCATTGCCGAGGAAGTTGGTGACAGGGCAGGGCAAGGCGAAGCCTATGCCAATCTCGGCCTTGCTTATCACAGCCTTAATGAATTCCAAAGAGCAATAGAGTACAGCAATAAACACCTCATCATTGCCGAGGAAGTTGGTGACAGGGCAGGGCAAGGCGAAGCCTATGCCAATCTCGGTGTTGCTTATCATCGCCTTAATGAATTCCAAAGAGCAATAGAGTACTACAATAGATGGCTCAGCATTGCCAAGGAAGTTGGTGACAGGGAAGCGCAAGGCATAGCCTATAGCAATCTCAGCAAAATTCATTCCGTTCTCGGCGAATTCCAACGAGCAGAAGAGTGCCACAATCAATCCCTCATCATTGCCGAGGAAGTTGGTGACAGGGCAATGAAAGGCGCAACCTATGCCAATCTCGGCAGCCTTTATCGCAGCCTTGAAGACTTCCGACGAGAAAAGGAGTGCTACGAGAAAGCGTTGAGCATTTTCAAGGAAGTCGGTGACAGACAAGGAAAAGCACATGCCTATTTAAGAATCGGCAACGTTTATGGTTCCCTCAGCGACTTGCCACGAGCAATGGAGTACTACAAGCAATCCCTGAGCAATGCTGAGGAAATCGATGACAGGGAAGGACAAGGAAATGCCTATTGCCACCTCGGAAGTTGTTATACAGATCTCCACGACTTCAAGGAAGCAAAAGAGTGTTACAAGCAACACCTTAGGATTGCCGAGGAAATCGGTGACAGGACGGGAGAAGCATGTGCCCATGACGGTCTGGGTCAATCTTTTTTGTATTCATATTCTTTGAATGAGGCTTTAGAACATTTTAGATGCTGTGTTAAAATCTATGACAGTATTAGAGCCCATTCTATCTCGGAAGATCAATTGAAAATAAGTTTCCGTGCGCAACATCAATTTGCCTATACTCATTTATGGCAGGTTTTAGTAATGCTTCAAAGGAATGATGAGGCTTTATACGCTGCTGAGAGGGGACGGGCACAGGCTTTACTCGATGCCTTAAAAGTAACTTATGGCCTTACATCACCTTCTCCCAGGTCAATTGAATCTGAAGAAGAAGTCAGAAATATTTCAAGGAAGACAACTGTTTTAACAGTTTTTCTTGCCCTTCATTTGGAAACAGTGAATATCTGGGTGTTGGGAAAAGAAGACAACCCTATCTTTAGGGGATTGAAGTTACAAGGAATTGGAAAAGAGCACAAAGATTCCTTTTCTGTCCTTTTAGACAGTGTTTTAAAAACCATTGGGGCTGGCAGAGGTATCAGGTGTGAAAATTGGTCAATGGATAAGCTGAGTACAACAACTTCAACTACTCGAGACGAACATCAAGCATCGGAGGCATCACAGGAGACCACCGACTGCTTGCAGCAATTATATGATGTACTTATTGGTCCCATTGAAGACTTGCTTGATGGTGATGAACTAATTGTAGTTCCTGACGGCGCTTTGTCTAAAGCTCCTTGGGCAGCCCTGAGTGAAACTTTAAGGATCCGCACTGTTCCCTCACTGACAAGTTTGAAAGTCATCACAGATTCTCCAATTGAATACCACAGTAAAAGTGGAGCCCTGCTTGTTGGAGATCCATGCTTGAAGAAAATTACAGATAGACGGGGGAACCCCATTTATGATCCACTGAAGCACGCAAAAGAGGAAGTGGAGATGATTGGAGAAATTCTAAAGATTCAACCCTTAACAGGTGAAGATGCAACCAAAGAAGCGGTACTTCAGAGAATCGCGTCAGTTGCTTTGGTTCACATCGCAGCCCACGGAAAAAAGGAAAAAGGAGAAATTGTTTTAGCTCCAGACCCCCAATGGGAATCCGACACTCCTAAGGAGGAGGACTGCATTATGAAAATGTCTGACATACAAGCTGTGAAGCTGAGAGCGAGGCTTGTTGTGCTTAGTTACAGCCACAGTGGTCAAGGAGAGGTATCGTCTGAGGGTGTGGTCGGTATGGCACGTGCTTTCTTGTTTGCTGGTGCTCGTTCCGTGCTGGCGACACTCTGGGCAATTGATGACGAAGCCACAATGATGTTTATGAAATCTTTCTACCAACAACTTGCAAGTGGAGAAAGTGCAAGTGTTGCTCTTCAGAGGGCCATGAAATGTCTTCGAGACTCCCACGATTATTCTGCTCCAAAGTACTGGGCTCCTTTTGTTCTGATGGGCGATGACGTTAAGATTGACATTGAGCAAGTCGTAAGTGCAGATTTTTTTTTCTTGCTGTTCTAGTGACAAAAGGCTTAAGAAGAAAAGCTAGAACCATTCTTGTCAAATTCAGATAAGAGGAAAATGACAGACTTGATAATAAAAAGAATAAAAATATGTATAAAGTAAGGATGGGTTGGGTGGTAAGTGTTAAATTATTATGGATTCACTCAAGTAAATGTTATTCCTAACGGGCTACCAACACATTTCAAAAATCAATTGAACACTAGGCATTGCTTAATGTTCTCAGTTGTTAAATAGTTTAGGTCAGGTGTGGATAAAAGATATACATACGGAATAAGTTTCCTTCGTTTTTCTACAGGACTAGCACTATATGTAGAGAAATTCATAGCTTCAAAACGAACAAATATGTCAAAGATGTTAAATGTTCTTCATTTTGCTATTTTTCATATCATCATCCATGGCATCCTAAAATTTAACGCTTTGACCTTTATTTTGTTTTGAAATGAAACATTAATTAATGTATCAATTGTTACTTTCTTTACAGGGATGTGCTGAAAGTTTGATGTCAACACAACTGCTGAAGTAGCGTGTATATATCTGGATCTCCACAAAGAAAGAAGTGCGTTATTTAATAGCTGTCCTCAATGGGGCGTTTGGTAAAAAAAGCGTATTTTCATTTTAGTCATTTTTTGTCAGAAGATATTAAATAGAGAGATTTATAGTCACGCTAACGGCAAATGGCAAACGTCTACAGATTCAAGTTGAGAATTTCTCAAAATAGAAAATATGCAGATAAAATGAAAACAGCTCAAAGCAATTCTTATGGATAAAACTAACTTGAAACTAACAATTTTTTGTAGATCTAATTAACAGAAAACGAGAAAGCTCGAGAAGTAAAGGGAACACTTAGTCACGTGGTACAAATCCACGGTTTGCCGTAAACGAAACTCTAAATCTCTCTAATTAAAAACAAAAAAAAAAAAAACGTTGTAAATCAAAGGGTATACTGTATACTGTGGAGCTCTATATTAGCCACGCCGGCTACACTTATCAATTATAACTTTGGAAAAAGACAAACAATTTTCGTGGGGAAAGAACTTAACGTTGTTTACAAGTATTTCGTTACTCCCGCGAAACTGACTGAATAGTAGTACACATGATTGCCATTTTTCTCGTGTAACCTACCTTAACATGCAAATTGTAATTTGGCAAAGGCAAATTGCATTGAAATAACTGTAATATTGATGATAATAATCATTCTTATCATCATAATCTTAATAATTCCTTTTCAGTTTTTTCCCCTCGGCTTTAAAGCAAATGACTGAAACAAATAATTCAAATGAATTTAACAGGGTTAACCCTCGGACGTACACGCAAATTCATACCTCAGCGTGGTATAAGAGGGAGGGGTGGATGGAACCCCTCCCCAGAGTTTTTGATCATGATAATTTGCAGTATTTCGAAACGATTTTGCCTCCAGTGGAAAGCCTTTAATCTAGGTGGTGCTGCTGGAGGCCTGTGACGTCACCAATGGTCGCCATCTTGGATTTCACCAAGAATTAGAAATCAGGTTAAAATCGCGATAAATGATAATTTTTCGTGCTTCACATGCAAAATAACATTTAAATAAGCCCTTTGCATCATTTTATTGACAGTTTTTACTTTTATTGTTGAAAAAAGGGGTAATTATAAGAACAGGCATTTTCACTCAAAAATGCCTTGACCACCTGCTACTTAAGACATCATATGTCGTAACCACAGTAACTGACCATCACTAAAATTGTCTCAAAATGCGCGCGAGGGATAAACGAACGACTACTGTAAACGTCGGGTGCTGGTGTTTTAAGATTCAGATTTTAATCAGATAACTTTAAAAATTTTAAGTATGCACTGTAAGTATTTTGTGCATTCTGAACCGTGATTCTGAACCGCGGGTCACAATTCAGTGATTTAAGGTCTAGGTTAAAAGGGTGTATTACGTTTTGTATGATTCATCCCCGGTTTCCCAGCTGAACTTGTTATATTTTTTTAAAAAAAAAATTGATATGCTCATGTCTTGTTGATCCTTAATGTATAAATTGGTGGACAGTAAGAAATGCAGACTGCAGACTGAATGCAGACCATTGTTTTCAGGGTTAGAAAACAATGGGACTATCAGCGGTTTATAGCTTAGTTGGTTAGAGCGGCGCACCGGTATCGCAAAGTCACGGGTTCAAATCCCGTTGAAGTCTTGATTTCTTTTTTCAGGCTTCTTACGTAATTGCATAAATTGCGTTCACAACTGCGAGTATCATTCTTCATTTGATTTCATTTCTGCAATTCTCATATATGATTTATTTCATATGCATTTGTCAATGGGACTATTGTTGTCACGTTCCCATTTGCATGGTGAAAACAATGTTTTGCACTGAGAGCAGTCTGCAGTCTTCATTTTGTACTTATGTTATATATTGGGACACACATTGTGTCACTTAATTAAAACTGTTTTTAAATTTAAGTAAAATGGGATTTCAGAGACGAATTTAACTTATATGGATAAATTATTAGCGTTTCATACAAGAGTAAACGTTTTGCCTTCCACGTTTGGGAATGAATATGCTCGTAGTTTTAACTGTAAGTTTTGGACGATACACTGAATAGCCTGCACAGAGACAGGAGCGAGTGACCGCTGGCCAATTGGACCGTCTGAGAATCATTAGAGTGACTTTTGCCTAATTTTAATAACCCTTTTTTAGGAAAAGCGTTGCCAGATAGTCGTTCCATGCCTGCAAACAAAGGAAAAAGAGCCCGAAATCTAATTTTCATCCGAAAACAAGATTTATTTTCCTTCTCTATTTTTCCACCACCACTTCCTTGTAGAGCTGAGTCCGCCTCTGTCTCTGCACTCGTAGACTATTTGTTCTGCTATTAAACTAGGTTTAACTCTTAATCTTGTTTCTTAATTACTGCGAGTCATTTCAATCATAAAAAACGTTTTCGTGTATTATTGTGTTAGTGGTCCAACAACTTTAATTGATGTCGACTTTAAAGTATCCAAACAGTGGAAGATATTAGATTAAGAATTTGGACGCTATAATAACTTAATGATTTTTTGTTGTAATTGTGCTAGGTTGTAAAAGTTGGGCTTTTAATCAAGTAGATCAGTTAAAGATCAGAACACGTACACAGCAACGTTCTGAGGTTTGGCGTTTGGAAATTACAGCAATCGTTAAAGCTATCATCATTCTATTGAGAATCTGACCTATTTTACTGCCTCTAGGTTGCTTTTCTCGAGGCCACTGACTTTTAGCCATCCCTCAGTTACATTATTTAAAGGAGATGCTTTAATTTAGGGATGTCACCATTAGGAAAAAGGATAGGAGGTTGGGGGAAGGCAAACGCATTAGTAATTAAAAAGTCTCCATACGCACCACGATCAAAAAAGTTGTTCGAGGAGAAAAAATAGATTTTCACCTCAGGAGGAGAGAGAAAACTTTCATAGACCTCCCAAAAATTCAACACAACCCGTTACTTTCCTAATGGTTCATCCCTTATACCGCCCCATGTAACGGAATCCGGAATCTAGGAAAAATTTGCATGTGGAATCCGGAATCCTGGGCTTTGGAGTCCGGAGTACAGTTCAAAGAATCCAGAATGCCACTAACAATTGGAATTGAGAATCCAAGTTCCACTGACAAAGACTGGAATCGAGTACCTGTAATCCGGAATCCGTGACGTGGAATCCAGAATCCCAGACTATCGTGGATTCTCTTACATGGGGTGACTTATAGGTCGGCTTGTTGAACTGCTTCTACTTGATCCCAACACGTAGCACGATACAATGTTTAGTTTCTGATATAACCTTCAGATAAGTAATATTGTATTAAACCTGAAGAAAACGAGATGTTTACTGTGATTGTTGATCTCTTCGATGCCTTAAACTATTTAAAAACAACTTCTCCTTGAATTGGAATGATCACTATTTGATTAAAAAACCACTCCCCCTCCCCTCCCCCCTCAGAGGCGCTAAACATTTTTCGATTCTAGGAAGTTTTTTCTACATATTTTAAGGCAAGTTTCTGGTTATATCATTATCCCGCTAGGTAAATCGGTTTCAAGCAAGAAAACCCAACTTTCAAGCGGAAGTTTGATGAAACCATTTGACCTCGTTTCGTCATACAACGTCATAAGAAGCATAAAGGCACCAAAATCCCATTCCATTATATTTTCAAAGAGTACCATGGTAGTGACCCACAACTTGTCCACGGGTCTCTGGGCAGCCAAATGACTCAGTAAAACAAAAACGTGTTTAAACCAATTTCCCAACCAGGGATGTACCTTTGAAACAGCAAAGGAAACTTTTGTCCATATTTATCAAAACTAGAATTTCAACGGTAATCCAAGCAATCTTGCCCCTTTCAATTGAAGCAGCACCGATCTAGAAAGCGGATCGTTTCATATTGGATAGGCTTCTGTGCAACTCTTCGTCTCAGTGTGAACGGGTAACGGGTATTCGAACCGTGGCGTTAATAAAAGAGTAGGAGGGAGGACTGGAACCCAGAAAGACGGAAGTTAATATTAAGCGGAAGTGAGAATTGGGAATAATTTTGCCAATCCCTCTCGGCCAACTACTCCAGACTCGTACCCAGTCGCTATTTATTTATCACCGCGCGCCTCAATCTTCTCTCATCCTAAAAACACATAAATAGTGAATGGGTGCGATTGTAGACATTTATAGATTTTTTTCTCCAGGCATGGGCAAAGTCAAGTTTAAGTACATACCTGGTCAATCGTGAAGCATGCACTACTGCAAATTTTAATCATATTTCCAAACATGGTCAAGAAAATGTTAACCAGTGCCTATATTGAACACCTATTGAATGAGATTTTGTGATATCTTGAATAATCAAAGGTCTAGGTGTTACCAGCCAAGCCGAAGGCTGAGGCTAGCTGATAACACTTACGGAGACCTTGTTTATTCCAGATATCTCAAAAAGCTAAACTAATCACACAATGTTTTGAAGAAAACAACGACACACAGTTGCACGGAACATAGTTTGAGATTGCTCTTGGAAATCATGCATTGCACGCGCAAACCGCAGACAAGTCAGTTATCTGCTAGCAAATCTGAATTAGCTAACTCTGTAGGTTGCGCTGATTTTCAGATTGCATTAACCGTAGGCTCTTAGCTAATGAGAAGGCATGTAGTGAGTACAATTTATAATAATTTTATTTATATGTATATACATTTATTTCTTGCAAACGGACTTGCAAGGAAAACAAAAAATTCATCCACAGAGTTATTAGTCATTATAATAAAAAAAAGGATGGTTGAGAATATAAGTGGGGACTGGAAAGACAAACTTGAAAATTTTAGCAAAAGAATTCAAGAGGAAGAAAACATGACGTAGCCAGTCCTTCATTAAACCCCACGCCAGTAGATGGGTTTGGGGAAGGTGCATGGTCAAAAGGAGGGAGCCGCAAGGCAGCACGGGAGGTAACCATGACAACCCAGTGAGCGGGAACCAACACGCATCGTCACACTGATAATAGGAACTTTAAGATCCAACGACGCAGACGACAACGAGAACGTCAAAAACACAATAGGTTTAATTAGCAAAACCACAATTTAGCACCTAAAATCACCCTTTTTTGTACATTTCTTTCCCGTGTTTGCACGACTGCGACGTGAAAATGCCTAATTTCGCGTTTTATGGAGGACGTAAACAAGCAACGACGAAATTTTATTTCTCTTTTTGAGCTTGGCTATGGTCCCTTGAAATTCAGCTTCAGGAGGGTTCGCCTACAATCGACAAAGTTAGTGGGTAGGAATAATCGCTATAAAGACTGAAAGAACGTAAATCACTTTTTAAACGACGTTCTTGTCACCGTCGCGTCGTTGGATCTTAAAGTCCCTAATAGGGAGCTTACGCAGCAGGACGGCAGAGAAAAGCAGATGGCAAACCTTCTGTGACGAGCGTGACAATAATTTTGTTGAAATAACTTTCCACCAAACTTCACCTTTCTTTAAAAAAATCTTTTTGTAAAAGACCAGAAAATACTAATGGTGAGTGAAGATCATGACAAAACTGGCAAGTAATAGCCTTGTTACGTTTGTCAAACACAAGAGTTTTGCCGTCCTCTTATTCCTGCCGTGCTGTGGGTAAACTCAATAATATCCTGGGTGACAGATTACTCTTTAATTTTTGCCGAAAATCAGCGTACTAAATTAAAATTTCACTTGTGAAATTAGATAATTTGCGATGGCAACGTTCCGTACGTCTCAGTGGTGCCAAGATGGAGTAGAAAATTCAAACTCTTATGAATGAAGATGCCAGGGCGGGGCATTTAAAGAGGGTCTCAATGGGGTGGTGGCATTTACGGTTATCGGCTAAAATTTTGGCTCTTTTACGGCTCTCCGCTAATTTTTTTCAGTTACGGTTAACAAAAAAGTTAAAAATTAACTTCTTTTGTTTCAGAAAGTTAAATATTAATTGACCTGTATTTTTTGTATCTTTAAAGCAAAATAAAGGCCTTAGGATCATCTCGGGATATGAAATAAGCTATTCTTTTGAAAAATTTTAACATTTGATAGATCATACTTTTTATAAAGTATTCCACTTCTAATATTATTTTACACATAAAAATGTCAATTGTCAATTTAAAAATAATCTTTGTGAAAAAGTTAAAGCACACACGCGAACGCCTAACTCAAGGCCGGGGCGCGACATTCATTACAACAGAAATGGCCGTTTTCACACTAAAGACGGATTATTCGTGTGAGACGGGTTATCCGTTTGATGATTCGCGTCAGATAGGTAATACGTCTTAATTTGAAAATGGAAAAGTTTTAATTTTGCCTGAACAATCCGCCTGATTTTATCCTTCAACTTCGACGGACAGTTTGAAGACGGGATTATCCGTTCCAGATAGCCTGTGTACAACCGCCCCTTCCCTCAGAAAAAAAATCGGAGAGGGGGTGTCTGTCGGGAAGGGGGCGACTGTACACAGGCTAGTCTCAGACGGATAATCCGTTTCTAGCTCTAGTGTGAAAACGGCCAATAACAAAATTCCGTGTCCAGTGTTTTTAATGGTAGCGAAGGACTGTACGGAACCACTGTCAGCCGTTTTGCCTTGTCCGTAGGCCTCATTATTCCGCGCGGCTAATGCGTTTCGGGTCACGTGGTCCGAGCGAGTTCGCCACCGAAATGCCTTGAC